CCCCCTGCTTGTGTTCCCTCTCTCGCTGTGTCTCTCTCTGTCAAATAAATAAATAAAATCTTTTAAAAATAAAATCTTAAAAACAAAACAAAACTCATGAGGGATTTAAGGATTAACTTCCCTTACAGGCACTCTTTATATTGTCTGGTCACTTAGTCTCTATTTAGTGGAATAAATCATTGTCAAATTATTTTTGTTGAGGGATGCCTAGGTGGCTCAGTCAGTTAAGCAGCCGATTCTTTTTTTATTTTTTATTTTAAAAAAATTTATGAGAGAACATGACCAGGGAAAGGGGCAGAGGGAGAGGGATAAGCAGACTCTCCACTGAGCGTCGAACCTGTTGGGGTGCGGGGCTCAATCCCAGGACTCTGAGATCATGACCTGAGCCAAAGTCAGATGTTTGACTGAGCCACCCAGGCGCCCCACACAGCTAACTTTTTATTTCCGTTCAGGTCATGATCTTAGGGTTCTGGGTTCAAACCCTGGGTCAGGCTCCGTGCTCAGCAGGAAGTCGGCTTGAGGATTCTTTCTCTCCCTCTCCCTCTCACACTTCCCCTCCAGTTGCGTTCTCTCTCTCACAAATAAATGAATCTTTAAAAATACTATTTTTGTTCAATGCTTAGGAAAAAACAAAACTTTTTTTTCCTTTTTTTGAGAGAGAGAGAGAGAGAGAGAGAGAGAGAGCGCGAGCGCATGATCATGCTTTCAAGGGCCTGGGCAGTGGGAGAGAGAGAATCTTAAGCAGGCCCTGCAGCCACTGGGGGCTCAATCTCACAACCCTGGGATCATGACCCAAGCCAAAATCAAGTTGGTCGCTTAACCAACTGAGCCACCCAGACGCCCCCATGCCAAGATTTTTTAAAAAGAATTAGGAGACTACACAGACTTTAGGGGAAAACAAATGTAATTCTATATATGAATCTAGTATTTTACAGTTAGAAATATTTCTGAGAATTCTTGGTTATTATGGCTTTATTTCTTGGACACACAGTCTGCTTTCACCTTCTTGTCAACTAGGATGAAATGAAGTAGCATAAATTTAGTGTTAAAGTATTTTTTAGTGTTACGGTATTTTTTAGACTGTACTTCATGCAGCCACCTTTGAGACTTAAAAATAAAATTCCAACTTCTCGGCATTTCATTACTGCAGTATTTTCCTTTGCTTGGAATCATTCTTGAGATTTAGATATGTTTTATTACTAAAAATTAAGTTTACATCATATGTTAGCTACTCATTTTATAGTTTACTGTAACCATGATCTTTTTTTTTTTTTAAGATTTTATTTATTTATTTGAGAGAGAGAGAATGAGAGAGAGCACATGAGAGGGGGGAGGGTCAGAGGGAGAAGCAGAC